TATAGGATAGAGAATAGATAAGTATAAATAGAATAAAGAGCCTGAATGTAGTGATATACAGATAATAGTGAGAATAAGAATATAATATATAGTTAGCGTATATATATTATAGTTATATATATAATATATAACATATACATAAAGTGTAATATTATATAAATATTATATATATAAAGATGTATAGAAGAGTGAGATTAGTATATTATAGAGAAAGTATAATATATTATATTTGTGCAAATAGCGATATATGTATATATTATATACAGTTTATATATATAGATGTATAAAAAGTATATATATATATTATACATGAATATATGAAGTAGTAAGATAGATGATATTATAGAGTATACTTTAATAGTGAGTTATATGAGTAATGATGTATATATTAGTGATAGAACGTATTATAAATAAGTAGATTATATTAGGTATATATATATTATAATATATATATTTATAGAATATATATTATACTGTTATTCAGTATTACTCTCTTTATTTCTCTTAAAATGTGTGTAAAGCTATATATATATTTTATATTATGTTGGTGGTAGATAGAGACGAGGGAGTATATATATAATAGAATATATATAGTAAGAATAGATATCTAGATATATGAGTAAGCTCACCTCATAGTTATATAATATTTATATGAGAAGTCCAATAGAATGTTATAAAATCATATTTATATAAAATATTGAGGTATATAGATATTATATATGTTTATTATATATACCTATATATGCCTTTATATATATATATAATTATCAACATCACTAATATACCAACACGTTAATATTTATTTATTGATATATATATATATATATTATATTATAATATATTATTATATTTACAACACACACACACACAACACACACCATTATATATATATATATATATATATATATATTATATATATAAATATATAATAAATAATATATATAAGATAGTATATATATATATAAAGATATAATATATAATAAAGATATATATATATACTAGAGTAAGTATGAATATAATATAGATGTATATATATAAAGAAGGTATATATATATTAGAGTATAGTATATAAATATATAAGAATATATATATATTTATAAAAAAGTAAAGCCTATTTATTAGATATAAATATTATAGTATGAAATATAGATATACAATAGTAACATAAGTATATATAGATATATAAAAATGGATATATATATAATATATAAAAAGAAAGAATATATATATAAATATAAATTAATATAGTATATGGTAATATATATAAATTATATATAATATACTATAAATATAAATATAAATATATATAAAGTATAATTATATAAGTATAAATATTAAATTTATATATATAATATAAGATAAATATATATATATATATATATATAATAAAAATAATATTTAAAAAATATATATATAATAATATATTATATTTATATATATTTATATATATATTATATTTAATAATATAAATATACATATATATATATATGTATATATATAATATAATATATTATATATATATAAAAAAAAATATATATATATATGTATATATAAATATATATATATATATAAATATAATATATATAAATATGAATAATATATATATATAAAATATACATAAATATATATATATATATAGATATATATATATATATAGATATAAATATATAAAATATATATATATATAAATATATATATATATATAAATATATAAATATATATATATAAATATATATATATAGGTATTATATGAATAAATAAATATATAATTATATATAAATATAAATATATGATATATTAATATATATAATATATTATTATTATATATTTAAATTATATAATATATATATTAAAATATAATTATATAGATATTATTATATATATAATATATTTATATATGATAATATATTAATAAATAATATATATATATTATAATAATATATAAATTCTAAATTTATATAATAATAAATATTATATATTTTATATATATATTTTATATATATATGTAATATTATATAATATATATATATATATATATTATTTATAAATATGTATCAATTTATATATAATACATTTATATTATATATAATATATAATATATAATATATTTAATATATTATATTTAATATATATATATATATATATTAATATATATTAAATTCGAGCCAATACCTGACAGCACTTTTCTGCACTAAGTTCATTCAACCACAGTAGTGACGAGAAAATCTCCCAATGTCACACGGGAGCCATCCCAGCAACATCGAATTTACTCCGGACCGCCTTGATGGCAACACTAACAACACACGCGCTAGTCTCGTTGCCAAAAGTCTCGTGAGTCTTCCCCAAATCGGCTCGTCTTCGGATAATGACCTTCGAATATGCCACATCAATAAGTACCTAGTTGAGGAATAGAGTTAACTATGCAAATTGGTATACGCAGAGGATGAACGGAGCGACCGATAAATAATGGAGTAGTGAACTTGCGGCAACACATCGGGGTGAGCGACCAGCGACGCTCCATGCGTTCGCGCCGGCGAGATCGCCAGTTTCACTTCGGAACCCCGTCATAATCTTAATGTGCGACTCCTAATACTTTGAAGGGTGAACATGCATCAGCAGAAGAACCACGCCATACACAAGTACTGCCTCGCGAAGTAAATGTGTACGGAAAGAATCTGGGTTTGGGGCCCCGAGACCGAAAGGTTTTTAGGCCGCAATCGGAAGGGGCCAGGTGGCGGCGTTGAGGCCCACGATGCCACACAAGTAAATTTACTCGATGAGTTTCCTTGGATCGCCAGCGAGCGCTGTCGTTCCTCCCCCGGTTCTGGTTCAAAATAAAACCTCTTCCCTGACCTCCCTCAAAGTACGGTTTTCTGCATGCTTGCGTATATGCGTGCAGGTATGCTTCTGCTCGTTTATCACAGTTGGCCAATAAGAGTTCCCGCCATGCATACTTATAGTTATGCGTCTCAAATAATTTTATGAACAATTAGACAAAAAAAATAATTCAAACTTTTTTCTTCTCGTTGCTATGCTTATACGCTTTTCCTCAGGCTTTGTGTACCTCAGAACCTAAATGTTCGCTTTCACAAGTAGCAAGGCTATTTCCGTAATTCGTATGTATGACTTGCCGACTTAAAACATACGAGGAACGGCCTAACCTAAATTAATATACTATGCTGACCACTTAGACTAACTTTCAAAATCTACAGAGGTTACAACTGCAGTATTCACACATTTCGTGACTGGGAGGGCGAATTATTAACATTTGCCAGGTGAAAATTGACATGCAGGGTTATATGATGCTGATCTGTGTTGGAAAGAACGAGAAAAATGAAGGAGCAGGAATAAGGGGTGGGTTTATGAGGGAAAGTGTGGGTGGCAGTGGTTAGCACTGGGCGTTTCATGGTGGGTATCGCAAGAGATGGTCAGTGGTTGACGGTTGAGTAAAGCTGTTGTAGAGTCGGGCGCCAGTGGGCGTGTGTTCCTGGATTTCTGTTGTGGCATTTGCCTGGTTGACGATGCGGATGCAAAAGGATTGAAGGGGGGGGGGGGGTAACCAGAAGAAGACAGTGGGCTGAGCTAGTTACTACGAAG